TCCGTTATCTACCCAGGATGCTGCGAGAGGCCATTGAAATTAAAAAAACACCCTAATTTCAACAGGGAAGATGGTTTCTCTGTACCACCAGTTTGGGATCCAGTATTTCCTCTGATGAAAAATCCCAAACAGAGATAAGACTGCAGTACTAATTAATATTCTATATTTATTATATATTGTAATTTCTGTTATTAATTAATAATAAATTGAACTTAACAAAAATTCATTCAATAAAATAATTTGTAAAACTTAATGTAGCGTAAATTGCAATGTTTTCTTTGTAAAATTAAAAATAAAGTATTTAATTAATAACTATTGTAACTACAGTGAAAAAATAGGGTGGTTTGCATTAATATTAGACATAACTGGTTGAAGACTGTACCACCTCAGTCAACCGTGACCATGGGACCTATAAAGGGCCCGAAACGTCGGTTTGTTTGAAAAAACCAATATACGCGATTTAAACCCGGAAAAATAGTTTCGTTTCCTAGAAATGAATTTTTTTGCGATCTAATTCACGCAAATATTTTTTTTTTTAATCAATGCGTAGCAATCACGAAGCCTACAAACTTGATATGCAAGATTGTAAAATTGTATAAATAATAAAAAATAATAACATATAGGGCGCACTAAAAGTTTCCGGATCTGGCCACTTACATAAATATTTAAAAAGTAATTACAACATTTGAAAATGGAACTCTTTGGCTGTAGAATACAGTTTGTTTCATCTGACTGTCACTTATTTTTACATTGTGGGGTCATGTTACAAATTGGCTGTTTACATCACCATGGATTTAACTCGTGAAAATTTTCGTAGTATGATTTTCTACGACACTTAGGGTCGTATTCTAGAACTCTAATCAATGCTCAAGTCAGGATTTGAGCAGACTTGAGTATGATTTCACTGGAAATACGACCCTAATGGCTTGACTGAATGACTTGAGTATGATTTTCAGTGCTCACTGCAATACTCAAGTCCTGACTTGAGTATTGAGTAGAGTTCTAGAATACGACCCTAAGTGTAATTCAACAGCTCAAACTGCTTTTGGCGATGAAGCACCATGCAAGACGACTATTTATAGCTGGTTTGCAGAATTCAAACGTGGTCGTGTGAATCTCAGTGACGAATTTCGTGATGGTCGACCGTCCACTGCTGTGAACATCAAAAACATCGATGCTGTGCGATGATCAAAACAGACAGGCATGTGACAAACCATGAGATTCGGGCATCTTTAGGCACAGGCATGAGTCAAATACTATCAATACTACACAAACATTTAGGTGTGAAAAAGCTACACTCTCGGTGGATTCACACAATTTGACTGAGGCTCAAAAAACGGATCGCATCACTTGGTGCAATGCCATGCTTACCAGATTCAACGAAGGGGCGTCAAATTTGGTGTGAGACCATGGTAACAGGTGACGATACATGGATTTATAGTTATGATCCCAAAACAAATCAGCAATCGAGCGTATGGGTCTTTCGAGATGAGCCGAAACCAACCAAAGTGGCGCGCGTGCAAAGTGCCTCTAAGCGGATGATTGCTTCTTTTTTTAATAAAATTGGACACGTAGCTACTGTTGCTTTGGAGAATTGTTGTAACGTGAATATTGATTGGTACACGACCATTTGTTTGCCGGAAGTTATTGACAAACTCCGTAAAAATAACCGTAAACGCCGTATCTTGCACCACGATAATTCCAGTTCTCACACGGCCAGACAGACAAATGAATTTTTGATGGTGAACAACGTTGACCTTATGAGCCAACCCGCGTACAGTCCCGACCTGGCACCTTGTGACTTTTATTTATTTCCAATAATTAAGAACCATTACGCGGTCCACGATTTTCATCACTTGAATGCTCTAAGACCTGAAGAGGCTGTCGAAGAGTATGAAAAATATGTTTCAGAGAATGTCCCGGAGGAGTGGCATAAATGTTTTCAAAATTGGTTCATTTGTATGAAAAAGTACATTAACGCTAACGGAGAATATTTTGAGAAACAATAAATTCATTTCTGACCATTTCCAGTATTTTTTTCTTATTCATTCCGGAAACTTACAGTGCGCCCTACGTATGTATGGAGAAATGCGAATTTTATTTTATTTCATGAGAATATTAGTCTTATGACGGTTATTATGGAGTGATCACTAAAAAACTCAACACAAACATCTGTGATTATCCGACACCGAGACAAAAACAATCAACTGTACTGAACAGTTGATTTTTTTGTCTCGGTTTCGGATTTATTACTCGATACAAAAATATAGATCAATATAATAATCCCCAGATAATATCGCCGTCTTTTCGGGGTCATCTGTTTATAAAGATCGAGAACAGAGGCATAGTAAAATAAGAGAAGTATGGTAACTCCGTACAAAGTAACAGCGCTGCTTGTAAGTGTGCGCAACCGCCGCGCGGCATGTACCGACGCACACATTCACATAATAATGAAATGCACGATGGGACGCCCAATGTTATCCAATGCGAGTTCATCGCGAGATTATGTGAATGCGTGCGTTCGTCGGGCACACATACAGGCCGCGGAGCTATGTTTGTATGGAGTAACTATAAATATAAAACAAACAAATACTTGTCTTACTATGGACTGAAAGTACATTTCGAATAATAATAATTATTATTATTATTTATTTTCTCTCAACAAACAAGATAAATTGTATAAATGCTTACTGATTAGTGAGTTTCAACATTAAACCGTATTTGCGAGAGACTGGGGCCTGAGATAGGCATTAAAATGCCTGTATTACAGTCACCAGGTCCCCGTTTGAATGAAGTCGGATTAATAACATCCTATAGTAGATATATGTTTACAGATAGGATGTAATAACAAAACACATAGATTAGCTTTATCATTTGATATAATCATATTAGAAACTTGTAAACAGCAGTAGTAAAAGTAAATTTGCAACACGAACTGGTGCAACTGGTTTAGAGCTCACATTTTACCAACGATTATTAAGAAAAATTTATTTCCGTAACATATAAACACTAACCAGACACATCCATTAAAAAAAATACTAACTGAATGTTAAACGTTGATGGTGAGTGTTGTAGAAGTAATACGGTTTTCTTAATTTTGTTTTTCTGACATAAAAAACCCTAGGTACCTGAGCATTAGGGTTTGTTGCGCGAGGTATTTTATAGGCAAAAGGGTACATACACAGCCCTCATTAACAGTCGACAGCACACTCGGCTGTACACTTTGGGCTGTTCTTAGTGAAACATTAATTGACATCAGTGAAATGATCTGAAATGTAAAGCCGAACGTGCTGTTGATGTATTTAATTAAGTTTATATCAACTCACATTATGAACTATTGCGTATATACGGAATGAGACAGATGTTATACTTACCTAAGTTTTCCTGCATACTCTAATTCTATTTGACATCTTTCCTTAACGAAGTTTCCATATTTGTCTAGAAATTCAATTCCTTTCTGTGTGTGAGCCGCTAAGTTATCATATTGATCCTGTGGACAAACAAAAGTAACTGTTAGAATCTAATTAAATGTATACTTTAATGTTAGCTATAACTATTATGTACGTGCTATTATTACTATAACTGATATACGCATTATAATGTAGTCATCGAAGACAGAGGAAACGAGTAGCGATACGAGGTCATCCCAGGCGGGAAATTGTGCGCCAGAGCCGATAACTCATGCATATGCACACATACACACACACACAAATAGTATTTTGAGATCTTAATTTTAAGCGTCACGTTTCACTCTAATGTGCACCGATTCTCCATTGTAACATAAACCGTTAAAAATCCTGCATTAAATCTCACTACCACACCTTCGTGGAAACATTATCATCATCAACCTATACGTCCCACTGCTGGGCACGGGTCTCCTCTAAAGGGAGGGTTTAGGCCATAGTCCGCCATGATGATCCAATGGGGGTTGGGGACTTCAAACGTTTTCCGAGGGTTGTGAACCTTCTTCGACGTGCAGGTTTTATCACGATGTTTCCCTTCACCGAAAAAGCTCATGGTAAATTTTAAATTAAATTTCGCACATAAATGCCGAAAACTCAAGAGGTTTCGAACCTACGGCCTCTGCTTAAGAGGCGATAGATCAAACCATTACGCTAGCACATCCAAGTCAACGTCTTAAGTAACGATATTGATAGCAATCAATTAGGAAGATTACTGATGAATAGATTAACATTTTAATGAGGTAAATAGGGCGCGAAACGAATGAGCAGACTTTTCCCACTCCCACCGAACTGATCGGCGGCGGGAACAGCGCTTGCGTGCAGAGATGCGCACGCGACGCCGCTCCCGTCTCAGCGCAAGCGAACATCGGCGCCGCCCTTGACTCGAGGCGAAGGTGTTCTGAGTGCAACGACACCACAGCACACGCCCCAAAGATTTTAACCAAATCATCTTTGACTGATCTTAATCTTTCATCTAATACATAATGTTAATATTATCAAAGTGCAATAACCAAATGCTTCTATGGTTTGGAATAAAATGTTATGTCCGTAGACAATAAGCGAGCTGGTGTTACTTAATTGACTAAAACATTTCTGTGCGGAAGACCAAATAACAAGCTATGTAATAACAACTAATGGCATTAATTAAATACGTTGCGTGGCTTCGTGTGCCCGTACACTGCAACACAATATAAGCAGCTGCTCGCTGTGCTATATTAGTACGGACAATGACGATGGAATATTTTTAGTCGAGACAGCCCATAAACTTCAGGTTTAAATTAAAAAAAAAAGAGAAATAAATAATTGACTGAATTAAAGAGCAATGTTTTATTAAAAGGGCTCATGATGATACTCAAAATTAGCTATTCACAAGGTTTGAAATTATCGTGAAATAAAAATTTTATACAAAAGATTATTTCTCTAACGATAGTAAATAACCTTTTGTATAAAATAGCACCTAAATGCTAAAAATTAAGGGAAATAATTCGTTTAGCTCTTTTCTTTTTTTTATAATATCAAGTGACGCGCATGTCTATAAGTTGCATTGCCACTCAGAGCTTTAAGTCACAAAGATCTGAGGGGCACTGCCACAGCGCCCGTCACCCTGAGACATAAGTTGACAAGTCCCATATACCTCTAATTTCACCAGAACCCTTACCCACCAAAACCGGAACACAGTAATGCTGACAGTAATGCATGGCGGCAGAAATAGATAAGGTGGCATTACTTACCTAGACGAACTCTTTGACAAAGAGCTCTTCTGCTACAAAAAGCTCTTACAAGTTGTTACCACCTATGACAATTTTAAATAAATGCTGTAAATGACAAATTTCTCACAAGTTACTTACTCCTTCTTCTCAAGGGAATCTGCCTTACGAATGAGTAGTAGTGTTAAATCAATTTGTCAATTTCAAGTATTGTATAATAAAAATATTTCGAATTAGTATAGAACTTGTTCAACGACAATTCTAATATTATTATATTATTAATTGCGGTTACTGATCGCTCTTACGCTTAACTGACATTTAAATACGCAATAATGACAAAAGTTAATATTGAAAAGGATTTAAATTATTAGAAATAATAATATTTAAAAATCTGATTTCATCAGCAGCTCCTCATTGCTCATTGGTAATACTTAAAGCAGATACTATGGACATAAGATTGAGCAAGGGTATGAACAACGATACAACATGTACCTTTAGGTTATGAAAGCATGCCAAGCAGGAACAAACGCAAAAGTTTGCGAAAGTTTCGTCAATACTACACGACTAGACTTGGCCTTATTGCAATATTTTTTTATTATAATTGAACATGGAGTTTTTGTTATACGACGTGAATATAGCGTAAAAATAAATAATAACGTGCGTAATAAAGTAATAAAAACAGTTAAGGTATTTAAGACGTAATACTCTCTATTATTGGAGACTATACTCGTGTCTGCCTTGATACGAGTCCGAGACATGACTAAACATCGTTGTTTTTACCGTATAAATCGCCAGAGTAGGTACCGTTTACTGACCATGATGATCGCATGCTATTCTATAAATATTGCTCTTCTAAATAATTAACATAAAATAAACCTACAAGGCGTGTCACCTCATTTAAAAAAAATTTGAACTACCTTTCTTTTGTAGTTTCACTTTGAAATTTTGGATAACCAGCCCATGCAAGTTTTTGGAGGTTAGAATTTTGGAACGATCGTGCTTTATCGTAGAAATTTACAGTTACGAATGTGGTGGGCCAGGCAGAGAAAGCATAAAAATTACAATGTTTAATACATCTATCTCGAGGTATAATAAGTCGGTCCGGTTCGGTAACCGGGCTGTTGGTGTTAGAACCCAAGACATGACAGCGGCCGTCAGTAATGTGAGAGTACTGACTGGTTGTGGGAGAACTGGATCGGTGACAATTTCATACATATCATGGGTGCGAGCGACTTAACATGCATTAGCCTCAAGGATTATTAAAGCCGGAGCTATTCCTAGGACCATTACGCCAAGCCTATTAGCTTGAGTGCGAATGAATATTAAAAAACTGCATTCTTTACTTAAAACGATTAACGAATTAACACACAAATTGTTATATAGTTGTTACAGAATCTTCTGTAACATACTGAGCCTGTACGAATTTAACCTATCTAGGCGGTGGCGTCGCCGTAAAAACGTTAGATGTTGAAAAAAGCGGTTGGTGGGCGGCGCCTGTCTACGGAATGCGCACACGCCAGGTTCGGACTGCCATCAGTATGCAAAGCATATATGTCGTGGGTACCAACACGTGTACTTACAGGTCCCAGTTACCATGGCTAATTGTTTTGAATAACATTTTGACATTCAATACGTGACGAAATTATGTATCACATATTATCGGGACACGTCGTGAATAATATTTACTATTAAATAAAAAAGAAACCAAAATTTAAATATATTTATTACTTGAAGTTAAGAAAAATTTCTTTAGGTTAATGTACTCCAGAATATTGAACGCACTTACTTCGGAATTGACAGTTTAGTGCGAAGTTTGACTGTAGTATCATGTAGTGTGATATTCGGCGCAGACGACAAGTATGTCACTGAACCTGACAGTGCTTTGTTGACATTCTACGGCACACACCGCGACCCGTGACGCCCGACACGTCAATCTCCGATAATTGTCACACGTCGCCAACAGCGATAACCAAGCATTAGCGATAAACTCTATGTCCAATGTTGGTCAAACACGCCCGAAACACTTTCGAGCGCTCCGTGTATTCCGTTATCGTAGTTTATCATTAGCTAGTAGAGTGGTGTTTATACATATTTAAAAATAGAAAATTAATTGGCGTCGTGATATTCCATCACCTAACCCAAGAAATAAATAAATAAATAAATAAATAAATAAATAAATAAATAGAATATATACTAATATATAATACACATATATATAAAATCACAAGATACATGTACGTGCTTTTAAACAACGAGCTACTCTGATTTCTATTACTAAGTTGATGAAAAGGACGAAGCCTCAGCATAGTGCTGTTATTCAGTCTCCGCCTGTGTTCTCTGTCGGACATTTTGGAACATGACTACTGAAATTCTGAACAAAAGGTCGACGACAAAAACAATCATCGTTAATCTAGTAACTATTTATTATTATATATGCGGCTGTTCAAATTCAAATCCGCTTAGTTTCCCCGTGACCTAGAGATTGCAATATAACTATATAGTGAAGTTGGTGATCTTGCAGAATATTTATTACATTACGGGCAAGTATTGCAAATGGCCTTGTGATGTAGGTAAGTCGCCGAATGTCGCACTTGAATGCCAATAAGACTCTGGTTACAATAGAATCAGAGTATCGTGTTTTATAACAAAAAAATATTGAAAGAATTTCTATAGGTCTAAAAATGTATAAACTACTGAGATAAATTTAACATAATAAAAATTAATCTAGCATACAAGAACCGTGTATTAAAGAGAGAGTACATCGACACGAGCGGAAGAATAAATCCGTCTGCAATCTGCATACAACAAGCATGCAATTAAAGTCTTTGTCTGCAACCTTTCGCACCCAATTGGCATTGTGATGATCACTTCCGTCGCGTTTTGACTGCGCCAACCCCACGGCCAGCAGCGGCGTCACAAGCTCAATCATACCGGAATATATATTATACTCAATGGAGGTAAACGATTTCATCAGTGACTCATGCCGGTGGAACGCCCTGACTGGCCTTTGGGTAATTAAGACTCATTACTCATCATTGTTTTAACAAACAACACACTGCCTTGGCATTGATAAGATTACGGTAACAGAATCAATAAATACGTATTGTGCGACACAAACACCGCGTTATCGAGACAATCGACAGGTGAATTGAAGTAGTAAATTTTATCTTTAAAATTAGTAAATAATTAGATAATACAAATTCTGTAGGTATTTACCTGCAAAGCGATTACTTGTTTATGTATATTATGGAGTAGTGGACTATTGTCTTGAATATTTGTAGGCAAAAAGGATGTGGCAATAAAGACCATGTTATTTTATT